GAATAAACAGTAAAAACATTGAAGGATATGGGGAAAGATCTGGGAAAGCGATTAATAATGCAGGGCACTTTAGGAGAGCCCTGCAACAGACATGATTGGCTGAATGGCCACTTTCTGCGCAGAAATGTCTGTTTATGTGGAGTCCTGTAGCTCAGTGGTTAGAGCTCTGCCCTCACAAGCGAGAGACATGGGTATGATTCCCAGGCAGGGCGAAACGTTGGGCAAGTTTCCTTACCCTCACAGCCTCTGTTTACCTAGCAGTAAATAGGAACCCGGTTTTTAGTCGATTGATGGATCGCTTTTCCGGGGATAATAATCCCTTTAAAAAGGTTTCACCCACAAATTATACAGTATATTCTGTGAAGCGCTTTGAGACGTCTCGCTTTGAGTCGGGGAGCGGCGGCAGGACAACGCGGGGAGGAGCCTGGGCCTACTGACCCAGGTACTTAAACACGACGCCGGAGCGAGTTCAGCCCCGGGGGCGGTGTGGGGGCGGAGCGGTGGAACTGCTGACGTCAGAGATTAGTTTTCGGGGCGTGCGCGCGCAACAAAAAAAAAACTCTCTGCGCCCCCCCCCCCCCAGGGCTCACATCAGAGCCCACTATGGTCCTGTTGCGTTTGCTGCCCCAATCTACGGGATAATGCCATCCACCTGACCGCTCGCTCCCGGTCCCCGCGTGCGCACTATGGCTGCCGCTTTGACCCGAGCCCCCTCACCCCCTCCCTCCCGCCCCCCTCCTCTCTCCCCCCAAACCCTCCCCCGCTCTCTCCTCTCTCTCCGTCCCTCTTGCCTTCTATCCCCACTTGACCCTCCCACAACCTCCCTCTGCTCCAGCCTGGGAATCCTCCGCCGGGCTCACCGTGGCACTCGGCGTTGGCTGTCCAGCAGCAGCCACACCGACTGCCCCATTCCCCACCACACTCGCCACCCACCCCGGACACAGACCCGGGGAGTCAACCTCTCCTCCCTCATCCCCATTCCCCCACCCCTGCCTCACAACCTGGACCCCCCTCCCCTCCCACACACCCTTCTGTCAACCGCTCCCTCCACATCGGACTGCAAAATGTCCGCTCCCTCTGCAACAAGGCCCTGGTCATCAACGATCTCATCCTTGATGAGAACGTTGATATCATGGCCTTAACAGAAACCGGGCTCACCCCAGGCGACACCTTCCCCCTCACGGAGGCCACGCCACCCGGCTACACCTCCCACCACATCCCTCGCCCCAACCGCCGTGGCGGTGGTGTTGCCCTTATCTCAAGGACACCACTTGCCCTATCCCCTTACTCCACTGGCTCTTTCCCCTCCTTTGAGCACCTCACCCTCTCCCACCCCTCATTCCTCTCCCTTAAAATCCTCCTCCTCTACCGGCCCCCTAAAACCTCTCCCACCTTCATCTCTGACATTTCAACACTCCTCACATCTCTTTGCCTCTGCTCCGATCGCCTCATCATCCTGGGCGACTTTAACCTACACTTCACCCCCTCCTGCTCCATCTCCACAGACTTCTCTTCCCTGCTCTCCTCACTCAACCTCTCCTTACACATAAACTCCCCCACTCACAGTCACAGCCACCCACTCGATTTGGTGATCACCCGGGGCCTCAGTGTCTCGGATGTCACTATTACCGACAAGGCCATCTCTGACCACTACTTCATCTCCTTCACCACCTCCACCCCCCTCCCCACCTCCACCAGACCCACCACCATCTTCTACCGCCCTTGGAAGAAGTTACCCCCACAATCCCTAACCGATGCCTTGGAGTCCTCTGAACTCCTCTCCCTCTGGCCTTCAACCCTCACCGACCCCTCTTCTCCTCTCTCCCTCCTCCACAATACCCTCTCCTCCACACTCGATACTCTGCCCCCATCACTTCCCGCACTGTCTCCTACTCAACCACAAGACCCGTTTTCCTCCACAACCCGACTCCTCCGTCCCCCCCGCCATCCCGCGCAGGTCATCTCCTCCAACCTTCACTGCGAGAAGATGCTGGATTTCCTTGAATCCAAGATCAAGGGAATTCGCTCCGCGGTCACTTCCCCTCCAACATCCACCAACCCCTCACCCCCTCACTCCCACACTCCGACTGCTACCCATCCTTCCCTACTCACTTTTGTACCTGTTTCCCCACCCTCTGTCACCAAACTCTTCCTATCCCTAAAACCAACCACCTGCTCCCTTGACCCCATCCCCACTCCACTCCTTATCTCCCAGCTCCACTTTCTTGCTCCGCATATCACCGACATCATCAACCTGTCCCTCTCCTCTGGCTCTGTCCCCATTCCCTTAAAAACTGCCACCATCACGCCCACCCTGAAAAAACCCTCCCTTGATGCGTCGCAGCTATCAAGCTACCGGCCCATCTCCAACCTCCCCTTTCTCTCCAAGGTCCTGGAAAGAGTTGTCGCCTCCCAACTGCGCTCTTTCCTTTCCACCCATTCTCTTTTCGAACCCCTTCAGTCAGGTTTCCGTGCTGCCCATAGCACAGAAACTGCCCTGGTCAAGGTCACCAATGATATCCTGACCATCTGTGACCAGGGCTCCCTCTGTCTCCTCGTCCTCCTCGACCTATCGGCAGCATTCGATACGGTCGACCACGCTATCCTACTCCACCGCTTGTCCTCCCACCTCAACCTTCAAGGCACTGTCCTTGAGTGGTTTAGGTCGTACCTCTCCCACCGTCTTCACTTTGTCTCGACGAATGGCTTCTCCTCCACCCCCCGCACTGTCTCATGTGGTGTCCCTCAGGGCTCTGTCCTCGGTCCCCTCCTCTTCACCCTCTATATGCTCCCCCTGTGGTGACATCATCCGCAGACATGGAGTTAACTTCCACATGTATGCGGATGACACCCAACTCTACCTTTCCTCCTCTACTCTCAACTCCACGACCACCGATGTCCTGACAGCTGCCTGTCCGACATCGAGTCCTGGACGAGAGACAACTTTCTTCAGCTCAACGTGCGAAAAACCGAGGCCCTCCTGATTGGCTCACGTCAGCGCCTCCGCACCTCAGGCGCTGACACCATCAGCATCCAAGGCTGCACTCTCCACCTCTCAAAGCCATCAGGAACCTCGGGGTTTTGTTCGACCCTGAGCTGTCCTTTCTCCCTCACATCCGCACCACAACTGGCACCGCCTTCCATCACCTCCGGAACATCGCCAGACTACGGCACTACCTCACCCCTCACGCGGCTGAAACCCTGGTTCACGCCTTTGTCACCTCAAGGCTGGACTATGGGAACTCTCTCCTCGCCGGCCTTCCCGCCACCTCCCTCCACACAGCAGGTCATTCAGAACTCTGCAGCTCGTGTACTGTCCCGCACCAGGCTTCGCGACCACATCACTCCCACCCTCTCGCTCGCCTCCACTGGCTCCCCATCCCCCAGAGGATTGATTTCAAGATCCTCATCCTCACCTACAAGGCCATTCACGGCCTTGCTCCCTCCTACCTCTCCAACCTACTATCCCCCTACCTACCTGCCCGTACCCTCCGTTCCTCCGGCTCCGGTCTGCTCCACGTCCCCCGCCCCAACCGCCCTACCATCGGTGGTCGGGCCTTCAGCCTCTCAGCCCCCAGGCTCTGGAACTCTATCCCCCAGTGCCTTCGCCGCTTCCTCCCTCTCCTCCTTCAAGGCCGGTCTCAAAACCTTTCTCTTTGACCGTACCTTCAGCTCCCCTCTCGACTCTCTTCCCTCCTTCTCGCTCCCTCCCTCCCCTCACTCTGACCATTTCCCCCCTCCTCGCTCCCTCCCTTCCCTCCCCTCACCCTGACCATTTCCCCCCAATGCTCGGGTCATGACCCAACTGTGCAGCGCCTTGGGACGTCCTCCTGACGTGAAAGGCGCTTTATAAATGGAATCTTGTTGTTGTTGTTGTTGTCTCGGAGACTTGATAAGGCACTACATCTGACATATGGACATTTGAACTTACATGATGCACCTCTATTCTGTTTTCTTTCAAACCTGCAAATGTTCGTCGTGCAGCATATGTGTGACTACAAGCTAATAACAGACCCGCAGAGAGACGCTTAATGATTTGTGAACAAGTGATTTGGCTTTCAGCCTGGCTCAGTGGAGCACACTCGCCACTCGCTCAGATGGTTCTAGGTTCAAGCCCAGCTTTGTCGTGTTCACCCTTGGAATCACAGTCTAAACTGATGCTCCAATGCAGTGCTTGTGGGGGGGGGTTTGCATCGTTGGATGCATCGTACTTCAGATGAGATGTTAAACCAAGAATATTAAAGATCTCATGACACTATTGGAAAAGAGAAGGAAGTTTGGCCCAGGGCTCAGGCCAACAATCTCCCCCAATAAAATTGGTCGCCATTCCATGGCTGATTTGTGGGTTGCTGCTGTGTGCAAATTGTCGTTTCGTCCACAAAATACGAGGTCACTTCACGTAACTGTATATCGTGTAAAGCACTCTGGGACGATCTTCCAACGTGAAAGGCGCTTTACCAAATGCAAGGATTATTATTATTATTATGTGGGCAAAATCATAGTCAGCCCAGGTACTCACAGTTGAACAGCAACCGTCACAAAACACAGGTTTGAGGGCCATCCAGAGAATAGATTGTTTTTTAAAAAAAACTAAGTTGACATGCATGCCTGGGGGTGAGCGATAATAATCATAATCCTTGCATTTGATATAGCGCCTCATCACATCTTCTAGACGTCTCAAAGCGCTTCACAGAATATACTGTAAAGTGAATTGACTATATTTGTGGGTTAAACGCGGCAGCCAATTGCGTACAGCAGATTCCACAAACAGTCGTGGATTGAGTGAACAATTAATTATTATTATGACCAACTTATTACCTTCTGACTCAGAGGGAAGAGTGAGTGTTACCTACTGAGCCAGGCTGGCACGTAAAAAAGTGACACATTAAAATAACGAAGGGAATGGTATATGTGGCGTTTGGAGGAGGTTCCAGCCTGCTGCTGTAATGGGTCTAACCAAACCGTCTAACCCAAGCCTCTCTTGTTTGCATGTCTAACAGGACACAGATCCAGCGAATTCGAAAGCCCCGCTGCTGTATCGGACCACACGGCCTTCTTCCCAGGTACTCAGAAAAGCAATCCGAAGGACAGGAGCAGCTCTTCAGGCTGACTGACAACATTCAGGCTGAATTGTAAGTGTCTGGAGCAGGCACTGAGCCTAGATAAAGTCTGTAACCACCTCTGTGTTACCCTTCACGAGTCATTAATACCCCATTTACTCTACCAGCAACCAAGGAACTAATATTGCAACAACAAGAAATTGCATTTATTTCACGCCAGGAGGACGACCCAAGGTGTTGGGTTTGCACCCGAGAGTTGAATTTGAGCAGGGTGGGAGCAAGGAGGGGGGAAGACACGTAAAGAGAAAGGTCTTGAGATGGACCTTGAAGGAGCCAAAGAAGGGGGTGAGATGAACGAATGGAATTCCTGGGGGCAGAGAGGCTGAGAGCCTGGTGGAGAATATGAAGCAGGCCAGTGCCCGCTGAGCAGAGGGAGCAGGAGCCGTGATAAGAGTTTAGCAGGTCACAGAGGTAGGTAAGGTGGAGCAAGGCCATCGGGGGCTTTAGAAGTGAGGACGAGGATCTTGAACTCGATAAAATGCTGCTTTTCCCTCTCCTCATTTCCCAATCCAAGGGTTTGGGAAAATTCTTAAAATCAGTCAAAATTTCGAAGCAGATTTGCCAAAGTTTAGTTCTTAAAAAATAAATTGGGCTTGAATTCAAGAATTTTTTAAAATTTGGAAAAATGAAACTTTCAGAGAATGAGGTTAGGACCATGTGGAATTCAGGACTCTGCTGTGCTTCCTGCATTGACATTGTCCACAGTAAAACTACACACTTGGTCACTCAGCTTCTGCACAGTGAGAACTTGGGTTCTGCTTAAACGCAAACGCTTTTGAATCAGGTCATAGAATCGTGCAGCACAGAATGAGGCCATTCGGCCCATCGTGCCTGTGTCAGCTCTTTAAAAGAACTATCAACTAGTTCCACTCCCCCGCTCTTACTCCATAGCCTTGAAAAAAAATTTAAGTGCCTATCCAGTTTCTCCCCTGTATACTCTATCAAAGCCCATCATAATTTTGAACATCTCTATTAAGTCTCCCCTCAACCTTCTCCGCTCTAACGAGAATAATCCCAGGCTCTCTAGTCTCTCCACACAATTGCAGTCCCTCATCCCTGGTATCATTCTTGTAAATCTCCTCTGCACCCTTTTCAAGGCTCTGACATCCTTCCTAACGTGTGGTGCCCAGAATTGGACACAATACTCCAGCTGAGGCCTAATCAGCAACATAACTTCCTTGCTGTTATGTACTCTACTTATAAAGCCATCGATCCCATATCCCATTCATGCCTGTTCAGGGGGATATCAAAGATCTTGTAGTACTGTAGGGCAACCTATATAGTGCCCCAGGCCCTGTTATAAAGAGGACAATGTCCAGGTTGTCACTGATGTCACTCACTGTGCATGAAGCACGGCTGATGTTCCCTCCATTGTGAAGAGACATGAGGGTGCAGGAAGTGATGTTAGCGGTGACCTGACAAATCCGGAGTTCGTCGATGGCAGGCTCTGGATGGAGCGATTGGGATTGTCAGGTAAGCAAATAATGGGGTCCGTTTTTGAGCTAACACAGGTTTTAGCGAGGGTGCTCTAATTGGGGGGCTGTTCCGCATTGGGCAGAGCACACAATGTTGAGTCTGTGGAGAGGTTGGAATGCTGAAAGCTGGATTTCTGGGTCCGTTGATGCTCCCAGGCGTCAGACAGTTTAGAAAGTGCAGCCACTGTTCTTCCTAATCGATTCCAGATGAACTCAAGTTCAGCCAGCGTTTCATTTCCTGGCCACGCTGCAGTAATTGCTTTCTGCTTTGCTGGAGTAATTCCACACTACCTGGAGGCTTACATCAGGCTCGCTTGCTCTCCGTTCTGTCCTCACTGCACTCGGTCCCAATGCTTGAATTCAGCCTTAATGAAACCTTATTCAACATCTAGAAACAATCTAGAATCAAAATGCTCCAATCTAGCAGCAATCCTTGGGCTGTGCAAAATGTGTACAAATCTGTTGATGTTTAGCCAGTTCTTTGCATTCCCTGGTGAGGTGGAAATTTTACTTTCCCATTCCACGCTTTCCACATATCTCTACCATCGCGCCTGATTGCTCCAGCATGTTTCTTTTGTTTTTAAAAATGTTTCTGTGAGGTTGCTGGTTTCCAGTGACCACACAGCTCTGTGTGTCTCGGGCACTGACTCCTCAGAGAAAAATGGGTAAGAAAGAAATACGTTGCTGTAGTGCTGCACAGCTTTATCACATCGCAACAGCAAAGTGGAGAGGTATTTGTTCATGACCTGGCATCTCCCTATCTCTCCAACCCGCTTACCCCCCAACCCACCACCTGTTGCCTCTTCTCGATTGGCTCTGGCTTCCTGCTTGTCCGTCGTGCCCTCTGTTCCACCATTGATGGCTGCACTTTCAGCCACTACGCCCCGAAACTCTGGAACACTCCCTCTGTCCCTCCACCTTGTCCTTCCCTCCCCATCTTGAGGTCGCGCCTGAAGACCTTCCACTTCGACTGTGCCTACGGTCACCTCCCCCCGGCTCAGCGTCATACTGTCAAGTACTCTGGGACTCTGCCCTGTGTGAGGGACGCTGTGTGTAAATGCAAGCTGCTGTTATCATCTTACCCAAGAGACAAACAATCCAGGTTCCCCAGGGCTGCACTGGACTGTCAGCCTGGACTGTGATCCGAGCTCTAAACTCTTTGCAAACTTTCAGAAATAATTTTTCTAACCAAAATATGTGAAATTGTTTGATGGGGATGGGGGATGGAACCGGCGGCGAGAGGAGACTCATTTTGGTGAATCAACAGGGACAGAGCAACTGGCTGGGGACAATGGGGACTTGCCAGAGGCTGAGATCAGATGTTTGCCCAGTGACTGTGCAGCTGAACCAGCTTGTGTTTTTGCAGAGCCTCGGCACATTGAAACATTTCAAAGCACTTCGCAAAGCAATCAAGTGCGGTGATGGTTTGTGCAGGCAAACGCAGCAGCCAATGTAGGTGCAGTGTGGGAATAACAACCTCAGCCACTTTATCTGCAGGAAACCCGACCTTCCCAATAGTGACATGGTATAGAATGTCAACCTGAAGACAAGACATGGCCTCAATTTAGCAGCTCTTTACTACACTTTAGTAGCCAGATATTTCGTTGTGATGACTCTATAGTTTGTTGGGGTGCAGGTTAAATGTTGATGTAAGTTGTGTACTGATTCTGTTGTGCTTTGCTTGGGTCCAATCCCTCTCACTATCACATCACATTCCTGACTGCAAGTTCTGTATTTTCAGCTTCATTGCGGTGGAGCAGATCGACAGTTACAGTGTCCTCATCTCCTCCAAGGTAGTGTACTTCCTAAATCACGGCAAATACATCGACCGAGACGCCATCTTCTTGGAGGTCAAATATGATGACCTCTACCACTGCCTTATCACCAAGGATCACGGGAAGGCTTACCTGCAGCTGACCAAAAAGGCCGAGAATTCGAGCAGTGGCGTGGCCATCCCAGGGCCGTCACACAACAAGCCAATGGTGTGTACAGTCCCTCCCTCCCCCTCCTCCCCGCGCAGCCCATCCATTTAGTTTTTCCGGGGAGAATAATCCCTTAAAAAATAATAATAATAATTTGGTCACTCAATCCACAACTGTTTGTAGGACACTTCTGTGCGCAATTGGCTGCCACATTTCGCCCACAAGATATACAGTCAGTTCACTTTACAGTATATCCTGTGAAGTGCTTTGAGACGTCTCGAAGACATGATAAGGCGCTGTATCAAATGCAATGATTATTATTATTATAATCTGGGGCTAAATAAGCCAATGTTTTTACCTACAAAAATTGCAAACTTGATGTGTCTACTGTGAATCATTCAAGCTTATTTGACGTTCTTACTTTCTCACTCTCTCTCACTGGCTCTCTCAGGTCCATGTGAAGTCCGAGTCGTTGGCTGTGAAGATCTCCCAGGAAATTAACTACGCAAAAAGCCTTTATTACGAGCAGCAGCTCAAGCTACAAGCCAATGAGAGCCAAGAGCACCTGGAGCTGGACTCCTAGAGGCCTCCCGTCCCTAACCTCGCCCTCACCTGTACCCCATCGCTGGCCAATGGAGTGGGGGGATCCCCAACAAACAGCACCAAGCGACGGGAATCCGGCCCACCACCCCCACTGGAACAACTCCGGATGAGTGTGATGACTTTATTTCCTTTTTTTGATCGCTATTTTGGTGAGCGAGCCTGGAGGAGGGAAAGGGTGAGGGGGATGTGGTGAGGCAGTTTATCACGGAAACTCGATGGCAAAAATTGAGAGGCTTCTGTCCAAATTGTATTTTACATTTTATATATTTACAACACACAAAAAAAATTTATGGCAACAGAATAAGAATTCTTTATTTTACTAACCTGTACATAGGTGTAATATTATTTTCTTGTAAGTATTCAGAAGGATCTCAAGGACACATTGTGTACAGAGGCTGCTGCTGTGTAATGTAATGTTTCAGAGCGGGTGCTGGCAAACTTGGTCACTTCCATGACTTTATTGCACTAAACATTAAGCGGCAATGCAACCCAGTTTGGTCAGGAGGGGCTTCCCCCCACTGCTTTCCACTCCTCTCATGTTCTACCCCACCACCGCACAGGCCATTCGCAAAGGCAATGAGGGGGTGGTGCGGGGGCGCTGGCTACTCTGGGGAAGAGTGGGGGAGTTTTGGGGTCCCAGAGAAGCTGGTAATCTTTATAAAGTGGATGAAAATTGTCACTGATGGGGGGTGTGATAGGGTAATGGGGGTTGGGAGGGGACACTTTTTCCAGTGTTAAGTGAGTGGCCTAAACAGGAAGGAGTGCTGAGAGGAGGAAAAACACCTGCCCAGCCTCGTTATTCTCCATTAGGCTGCTTTGAATGTGGAGACCACCATCTCTATTGTTATCGTGACCTCCCCCACCCCCCCAAACCAGGACGCCCAACCCCCACCCCTAGCCCCCCCCCCCACCACCACCACACACACGTGTTTTGAGTTAAGAGACGCACTGACATTGTAAATCTGACTGGCATTGCTGAGCAATTGACTGTGTGTGTACGTGTGTGGCTGTCTTTGTGAATACGTGTAAGTGGGTCAATTTTGGCTCGTCTCCATGTGTATCGTGTCTTGGTTTGTGTGAGTTGGCTGCCTGGCTGTGCGTGTCTGTGTGGAGGGGGTGACTGTGTGTGTTTGTGGGAAGTGTGTGGGGGCCGAGGGTCAGTTTGAGGGGGGTTGTGTTGAAGCCAGTAGCCAAGTAATTGCTTCTCCACAATAACAGGGAATGTATTCACATACACGGGAAGCGTGTACATGTTTAGCACAAGAACACGAGCAACCCACAGTAGTTAAAGCTCTGTATAAGCAAAGAGTATCTATGTGCAACCCCAGTAATAATCCAATGGGCCTTATCAATGTAACCTGGATACGTGTGGGTGTGTGAGTGAGTGTGTGTGTGTTTGTCGGGCAAATTCCTGTGAAGTTATTTTGTTGGTTTGATTTCTGTCACGAATCTACGACTGAGTGATATGAACAGTCGGATTCTCGAGCGACAGCGATCAATCAGATTTCAGGCTCTGATGGAATGTGTTACAGGGCAGCATCGCTCTGTCTGTCTTTCGGTGTTGATGGAGGGCTCAGCCTGTGTGAGACTTTCCCCTACGATCTGCCTGAAACATCATCACAGGCTTTCTGGTTACTACAGGGGAGGTTTGGGTCAAATCGGGTTTGTATCTTCCTGTTATCTTCCATTTCACAGGGTTTTTTCCCCCCCCTTCACTGACATAAACAGATCTTTTTGTGCAATTTTTAATCATAAAATAAAATGAATTAAAATGCAAAGTGAGCCGAGTGTGTGGCAATGTATCATAGCAAAGGCAGGAGAGGAGTCTTGTCTTACGGCCATTTCTGGTTCCTTACAAGGGATTTACTTAAACCCTCCCCCCACCCCTTTGGAATAGGGTTATTTTTTCAGGAGATCGTTAAAAGATCCCGAAAAGAAGGTACTTTCTCTCTTCTAGTGTCCTGGTCAACCATCGCCCAGATATAATTGGTCATTCATTCAGTGACTAATTTGCAGAACTAAGCATAAATGGGCTGCCGTGTACACTTACAGATACACAGTCACTACACTTCATACAGTCCACTCGAACGCAAGGATTATTATTATTAAACATCGGGTCAATGGGAGGCTGATCCAGTAATAGTCAGGAGGTGGCATTACCCACTGATGTGGGACAACCCGGTAAGGAATGAAAGTCGTTTTGTGAAGTGAAGTCAGTTTATAACACGAGGCAAAGATAAATAGTGTGCGCCGGATTAGGTTACAGTTTAAATGGCTGAGGCCGAGGCAGGGGAATCAATCGTGGGATGTGCTTCTCCTGTTGACCGGTTGAGCAGAGCCTTTCTCTAGTCTGTCCTCACATTCTCTCCATTACTCACTTTGATTGGCAGTTTCATGAGGTTAGGTAGGCTGACCCCTCTGCAGGGGGTAGGGGCGACAGTTCACATCCCATTTACCCCTGAGCTCACACGAGGCTCCAACCCAGGCTCGGGAGACGGTCAGCCTGCGATTGCTATGCCAAGAGAGCGTGATGGATGACCAGCCTGCTCCAGGCTGACACTTAACAACTTAATTCTGATCTAATAGCACGGGACTCCAGTGACCCCCTCCGCTCCCTGCAATAGCATTTCTCTCTCCAGCTGTTTGCTCCAACATTTTTCATTTGATGACAAGAGCAGTGGCTGCCCAGCCCGCCAGTCCACACCGCGGAGGAAAGCTTAGCAACAACAACAACTCGTGTTTGTATAGCGCCCTTCAGGCGAGGTAGTGTCCCGCAGTGCAACGCAGCTCAAGAGCCCAAGGTCAGGATTTAAAGCCCTAATCTGGACTGGGATTCTGCAGCTCAAAAGAAAAAAAAATGAATTTAGAGGAGTTTTTCTAAATTTTGCATTAATTATTAGCCAAGGAGTTTCTCATGGTCAGCCCCCGGAGCGCTGCTTTTCTGCAATGGCTGATCACACATCCAAACACCTCAAAGTGCTTCCCAATAATTCCCGTCAAGTGTAGTGACTGACCATAGGAAAACAAGATGTCTATTTTTGTGCCACACTAAAGAATGGGACGATTTATAGGAGGGCGATGGTCGACTAGGACACCGGAAGAAACCTTGTGTCACGGGATCTTCATTGTCCATCCACCAGTGAAACAGGCAGAGCAGACTCTGGGTTAGTCTGTTCTGAGCGGTGGTCCTTCTGACTGTGCAGCATTCGCCTAGATCACAGCCCGAGGGCCTGTCTGCCCATCGTTCAAACATTAAAAGATCCCACGGCAACGTTAGAGAAGAGACAGTTTCCCCCAGTGTCCAGGCTGACAACACTCTTCCATAATTTGGTCATTCACCGCACGACTGTGGGGCATCATCTACAGATAATAATAAACCTTGTGTTTGATACAGCGCCTTATCACTTTTGAGACGTCTCAAAGCGCTTTACAGAACATACTGTAACATGAATCGACTATATTTGGAGTCCTGTAGCTCAGTGGTTAGAGCACTCACGTTGCAAGCGAGAGACCTGGGTTCAATTCCCGGCAGAGGGCGAAACCTTGGGCAAGTTTCCCTACTCCACACACCTAATAATAATCCCACAAGAAGAAAAGCAAAAATAATTTGGTCACTCAATCCACGACTGTTTGTGGGACATTGCTGTGCGCAATTGGCTGCAGCGTTTTGCCCACAAATATACAGTCAATTCATTTTACAGTATATTCTGTGAAGCTCTGAGACGTCGAGAAGACGTGAAAAGTGCTATATCAAATGCTGTGAAACACGCACAGCAGCATCCCACAAACAGTCGCGGATTGAGGGACCAGTTTTTTGTAAAAGGGATTATTATCCCCGGAAAAGCGATCCACCAATCGACTAACAATGGGGTTCCTACTGACTGCTGGTAAACAGAGGGGTGGGGTAAGGAAACTTGCCGAACGTTTCACCTGCCCGGAATCGAATCCAGGTCCTTTCGCTTGCGAGGCGAGTGCTCCAACCATTGAGTTACTGGACTCCAGATGCACAGTCACTGTTTGCAGTGCGGTGTGAACGGGTGTGTGTGGTATCAGCGCTGTAAGACTGCACGTTCCCTGCATGTGGCCAGTTCACAGCCGGGCCGGGCCGGGCCGGGCCCCGCCACTTCCAATCACTCCCTGGCTCAGTTGACCTGGCTGTGAACCCACCGCAGGCCTCACTTGGCCCCTCGCTCACTGCCTCAGCGGCTGCTGTCGGCTCCCCCAGGCCCTCGGCAGTTGGGAGAGGTTCACAGCCGGGGCACGGAGAGACAGACCCGCCACTCCTCCACTTCCCCTTTAACTTGTCAGCAAGTGGCTTGGCAACCCAACGTGTGGCTCTCACAGACCCTCACAATCACTCCACACACAGCGTGACCACAGGCCAAAAATTCCACCCGGCCTGTCAGACCGGTTCGTGTTAACATGTAATTATGTGGCAAGGATTGCAATAACTCATAAAATCCAGGCTGAAATTCCAGTGGTGCTGGGGGGAGAGCTGCAGTGATGGAGTTGCCGTCTTTCAGACAAGATGTAAAACAGAGGTCCCACCTGTCTGATCAGGAAGTCCTTAAAGATCTTAAACTACCTACAAAATACACAATCACTACACTTCAAAATAATAATAATAAATAATAATCCCTCCAAAACCAAAACAATCATAAATTCGTCATTTTCTATCCACGACTGTTTGTGGGACATTGCTGTGCGCAATTGGCTGCCGCGTTCGCCCACAAATTTTCAGTCAATTCACTTTACAGTGTGTTCTGTGAAGCGCTTTGGGACGTCCTCCCGACGTGAAAAGCGCTATATCAAATGCGAGGATTATTATTATTATTATTACTTGGCCCACAAAATGTACAATCAATTTGCAGGTCACTCTTCTGGGGGGTAATAATCCCTTAAAAAAAAATTTGGTCACTTCAACCCTCAGCTGTTCGGGGGACACTGCCGCTGTGCGCAATTGGCTGCCGTGTTTCGCCCACAAAATATACAGTCAATTCACTTCATATTCTGTGAAGCGCTTTAAGCCGTCTCAAAGACCTGATAAGGCGCTGTATGAAATGCAAGGATTATTATTAATACTTCACAGCAAATCCTGTGAAGCACTTTGAGACTTCTTTCCCAGATGATTATTAATTATGAAAAATTCTTCAATCTGGTCCAAATTCAGAAGTTGTTTTCTTTTGTTTAAAAATATATAAATAACTTCCAATTGAAGAAAATTCTGATTCTGATTGGAATTTAAGAATCTTCCGGATTTCTGACCAGTGTTAAATTTGAAGGCGAGATGTTCATTGCTCTTTAAGCGCTCCGGGACGCTACCCCGCGTGAAGGGCGCTATATAAATGCAAGTTATTGTCGTTTCCTTATCCAGATCAGATCCTGGATCGATGACTCCGGATGTATCACTTTAATACCTGGGATGCATTTTGCTCTTTTCCGTTTTATTTGTTTGCAGAAAACAAAAAAACTCAATGAATAAAGTCTTGTGTATTGTGTTTCCCAGCCTAGCGAATTTACAGCTTAAATATTAAAATTTACAATTCGATTTTAGTCATGGACAAGAAAGAAGAGCCTGGTGATTTGCCACTGAATTTTGCCTGTTATCACTGCACCTCCCAAAGCAGCTCAGGGCCACGTGCTCAGGCCAGTTTCTCTCTCTAAACCCAGCTCTCTGGCAGCGAAACGCTACAGTAAAGGCAGAGGGTATCTGAGTCCCACATCTGTTCTGTGACCAGTCCTGGCTGCCGACTCTTGTTCGGTCTCCTGTTCTCTCCCCGGAGCCCAGCTAAACGAGAGGCAGAGTCTCTGTGATGAGCACCATAATGTCCTAGCCATCACACCTTGTGGTTCCACTTGGTCTCCCCGCTCATGTATCCAGCTTCTCCGTGGGGTAAGGAAGGGGGGGGCTTTGGGGGCGGGGAGAATCCCGCTTCCTATGTCCTCCCCTTCACTGAGTGCATGCAGGTGTAGCTCCCGGTGAACCTGAAGATTTCCTCTAGCGCAGCCTGGGGCAGGAGACTGGAACAAAAGATAGAGAGAGTGTGAGAGAGGGTGAGAGTGAATGAGTATGAAAGAGAGTGAGTGTAAGAGAGTGAGTATGAGAGAGTGAATGTGAGAGAGGGTGAGTGTGAGAGGTGAGTGTAAGAGTGAATGTGAGTGTGAGAGAGAGTGAGTGAGAGCCTCGGTCACCGTATCATATTTTATTCCTTTACAACAACTATAATTTGTATTTACCCAGCGCTCTTCACCCAGTGACCAAATTATTATTATGTAAAGATAACGAGGGGGTGTGAGGTGGAGGGATCCAGAGGTTCCGGGTGAGGTGACTTGACAGGCACCGATTTAGCAGGTCCTGAACCTTGCACAAGGGCTCGTTCAACGTATTGGACCACCCTACCTGTTAGGGCTTTGGCTGCAGGTTAACAGGAGCTGAGGGGAGGATTCCCTGTCCCCAGTGACTGGTCGACCTATCCAGGTCTGCCAATGAGCCAGACTGCGCTGGGCTGTCATCAGCAGTGAGGGCCCTGGAATACTGCGGCCTCTCTTGACTCAGGAACCAGACTAGAGACCGGCACAGAGGGGGGGGCTCGATTCCGACATTCCATTGCCAGGCCTGTCACCTTGGAGCCAGTTCAGCTCTGAGGAGACCCCGCTTAGAGGGAGGGAAAGAGAGTGCAAGAGAGAGAGAGGGGGGTGGGGAGGGGAGGAAGAGAGTGAGGGATTTGGAGTGAGAGAGAGACAGAAAGTGCAAGGGAGGGAGGCAGAGCAATGAGGGGGAGAGAGAGTGAGAGGGGAGCCATATTGACTGACTGACCTCTTCATGATGACCAGCAGGTGCATGGTCCATGGCAGGAGCAGGAACGCTTGGTTGGCCCTCACAGCCTCCACTGTGCGCTGGGCCACGGTTTGGGGCTCGAGTGGGGGGAAGAGTTTGGGGAATCTGTAAACACAAACATCACATTACATGGAGCCTAAGACTGAGCTTGCTTGCTGATGAGAGAGGGAGGGAAGGAGGAAGAGAGAGAGAGTGCACGAGAGAGGAGGATGAAGAGAAAGAGCGCACAAGAGTGCAAGAGAGAGAGAGACAAAGAGAGAACGGGGGGGAAGGGAGAGAGGAAGAGGGGGAGTGCATGAGAGGGATGGAGGAAGAGGAAGTCAGGCAGAGAGAGAGAGAGAGAGGGAGGAGTGAGGGAAGTAGTAACGTGTGCAGTGGCAGAGCGGAGGCACTGACCGTGTCTTCATGCCCTGGAACATGTCGGTGCTGGTGTGGAAGGGCAGCACTGTGGTGGCATTGACACCAGGACAGTCCAGGAGCCCCAGCGTCAGGCTCTCCATGAAGGCGAAGGACGAGGACTTGGAGGTGCAGTAATCAATGGTGCCCGGGATCGAGCACAGAGACAGCACTGAGTTTATACACACGACGTGCCCGTTCTGTAACTCCAACATTCTCGGTAGGAAAGCTTTAGTGGTCTGTGAATATAATACAATAATTAAGTTTTGCCCTTGATACAGCTCTTTATCTTGTCAGGAGGCCATCTCAAAGCGCTCTACGGTGGGGTTTAAAAAGTGTAGTGACTGTGCATTTTGTGGGAAAACATAGCAGCTAATTAACTTGCACGAGGCAATGTCTCACAAACAGCCGTGGAGCGAATGGCCAATTTTATCCGGGGGATTGTCGGCCAGGACACCAGGAGAGAGAGAGAGAGAGAGAGAAAGAAACACCCTTCTCACCCAGCAAAACACTAGCCGGGAATATTGACATTGGGGTGAGGAGGTGGGGGCTGCTCCACAACCGAGACAAGAGTGAGAGCGATTGGGGGTGAGGGGTGAGATGGAGGGAGTGAGGGTGAGATAGTAATAATCCTTGCTTTTGATATAGTGTTATAATGTCTTTGAGATGTCTCAAAGCACTTCACCGAATATATTGTAAAGTGAATTGACTGTATATTTATTTTGTGGGCGAAACGCAGCAGCCAAACAGTGGTGGATTGAGCGATCAATTTTTTTTGAAGGAATTATTACCCTCGGAAAAGCAATCCGCCAATCGACTAACAACCGGGTTCCTACTTACTACTAATGAAACAGAGGCGTGTGGAGTAAGGAAACTTGCCCATCGTTTTGCCCTGCCGGGAATTGAATCCAGGTCTCTCGCTTGCGAGGCGAGTTCTCTAACCATTGAGCTACAGGACTCCACAGGAGTTGGAGAGAGAGGGAGAGAGACACTGACCCAGAACTGGCCGAGGGTGTTGATGTGCTGGGATTTGAGGAGAGCATCATCGTCGCTATCCACCAGAGACTTGCCGTGAGCCACGCCAGCGTTGTTCACCAGGATGGTCACATCACCCAACTACGGGCAACAACAACAACAAATTACATTTGTACGGTGTCTTTCACGTCAGGAGGATGTCCCAAGGCATCCAAAGATCCATCACCCCACCGAACTGGGGGGTGTGGGGGGCTCGGGGTGTGTCCCGAGGAGCTGGGGGGTAGGGGGTTGCCGGGGAGGGGGTTGGGGGGTGAGAGGTAGAATAATCATGGGGAGCTGAGGGGTGGAGGGGTTATAGGGAGCTGAGGGGGGGGGGTGGGGGAGCGCGAGGAGCTGAAGTGGGGGGGGGAGCATGGGGAGCTGAGGGGGAGCGCGGGGAGCTGATGGGGGAGGTGCATGGGGAGCTGAGGGGGAGCGCGGGGAGCTGATGGGGAGCTGAGGGGGGAGCGCGGGGAGCTGATGGGGGAGGTGCATGGGGAGCTGAGGGGGGAGCGCGGGGAGCTGAAGGGGGGAGAGGAGTGCAGGGAGCTGGGGGGGGGGGAGCGCGAGGAGCTGAGGGGGGGGGAGGAGCGCAGGGAGCTGAGGAGGTGGGGGGGGCACAGGGAGCTGGGAGGGGTGGAAACACAGGGAGCAGAGGGACCCACCCACCTTCTCGCGCACAGCCTTGGCTTGCTGGTAAACTTCCTCCCTGTTGCCCACATCACACATGTAGTAATGGCACTCAGCTCCCCAGCTCCGAATCTCCTCACATGTCTCCCTCAGGCACCGCTCCGTCCGGCCCCAGATAATGATCTGCAACAGATATATTATTTTACTTTAGCACAGAAGGCAGTGAGTTTCAACCCGTGGGAGAGGGAGTGGGCGGTGTAAGCGGCCGGTGGGGTGGCTAGGAGTGTGGGAGGCGTGTGTGCCCTGTGCCGGGGTGCACACGTATCTGAATGGGTTACAGGAGCCATGGAACCCAGCGCCTGTCCCTTTAACAGCAGTGTGGGTTGGTAATTACTGCAGAGGTTCACACGGAGGGCAGAGGGTGTGTTATGTAATGTGACTGCAATAAAGACACCAGAAATAGGGAGGAGGAACACTGGGCGACACGCACACGCACACGCACACACACAGAGGACTTCTTAAAGGTACACTGACCAGGTCGGGAGCTGCAGATACCCGATATATGTATATATATATATACACCTCTACCAACCCGCCCGTTCCCTCCGCTCAGCCGGCTCTGGCTGCTCCACGTCCCCCGACCCACCCGACCCACCACTGGGGGGAGAACCTGCAGCCACTCTGCCCCCAACCTCTGGAATTCCATCCCCCAATCACTCCGCCTCATCCCCCCCTCAGCCTTCTTCAAGTCTCACCTCAAGACCCTCCTCTTCGACCATGCCACCCCCCTTCTCCTCCCTCCCCCCCCTTCTCCCCCACCCCCGACCCCAGCTCGGGTCCAAAATCCTGTCACTGTCCAGCACCTTGGGAAGTCCTCCCGACTTGTTGTTCTTGTTGTTTGTGTGTGCTTTTTGGGTGTTTTTGTGTGTGTGAGCGCACGTGCGTGTTTGTGTCGTTTCTTCTCCTTGCGACCAATTCTGTCCATGACAAAGTTTACCCTTTACGCAGTGTTGTGGGAAAACTCCTGCATTTGTTTTTGCTTTTAGAAACTGGTTTAGAGCAGGACTAAAAGGAACCGGTTTTGTGATTAACCGGAGAGCTGCGGACTCCGTTAACCCTTCGCCCTTTGCTCTCTTTGTGCCGCTCCCCGCCATTGCCCCGGCCAGTGTGCAGCTCAGGCTAACGACAGCCTAACTAATAATAATGAATGCATCATTTTTATTAATAATCCTTGCATTTGATGTAGCGCCTTTATCATGTCGGCCAGACGTCTCAAAGAGCTTCACAGACTATCCTATAAAGTGGGATTGACTATACATTTTTGGGGCAAAACACAGCAGCCAATTTGCGCACAACAGCGCCCACAAACTGCAATGGAGTGAGTGCCTGCTGCGTTTCACCCACAAAATATACAGTCAATCCCACTTTACAGGGTATCCTGTGAAGCGCTTTGAGACGTCTCGCAGACGTGATAAGGCACTGCATTAAATGCAAGGATTATTATTATTATTATGGAGTCCCGTAGCTCAGTGGTTAGAGCACTCGCTTTGCAAGCGAGAGACCTGAGTTCAATTCCAGGCAGAGGGCGAAACCTTGGGCAAGTTTCCTTACTCCACACAGAGCCTAATAATAGTCCCTCCAAAACCAAAACAATAATAAATTGGTCATTTTCAATCCATGACTGTTTGTGGGACATTGCTGTGCGCAATTGGCTGCCGCGTTCGCCCACAAATATACAGTCAATTCACTTTACAGTGTGTTCTGTGAAGCACTTTGGGACGTCCTCCCGACGTGAAAAGCGCTATATCAAATGCAAGGATTATTATTATTATTGTTCAGCGCTCTCGAAGCTTAGATCCGGGGTCTCAGATCTGGTCTGAAGATTTCAGATTGTGACTTTGGGAACATCATTCCTGGTTTCTTTTTAAGGAATTGTGTGAAAACACTCACTATATTAAAGCGAAATGAAGGGTTTTTCCACAATTCAGCCAAAGTAAATCCCGAGGCTGGAACCCTGATCAACCTCCTTTCACCCAGCCTCCCCTTCCCTGGGAGGGAGGGATGGAGCGAGGGGGGGGGCAGGGAGGCAGCTGTTGGCAGATCTCACACCCCAGCAGGCAGGTGCCCTGTGTAATTTTCCGGTCAGCAAGCTCTGAATTGGAAGCGTGTGGGGTTGTGTCTCTCTGGCCAGGAGCCAAAAGAAGTTAAAGCTGAGAAATGACGACGAGACGGGAGAGGGTCTGACTCCAAACACAGCCACTCACTCCCCACCCACCCCTGAGCACTGGGTGAGGGTGGGGGGCAGTGTGGTGGTGAGGGTGGGGGGGGCAGTGTGGTGGTGAGGGTGGGGGGGGACAGTGTGGTGGTGAGGGTGGGGGGGGCAGTGTGGTGGTGAGGGTGGGGGGGCAGTGTGAGGGTGAGGGTGGGGGGCAGTGTGGTGGTGAGGGTGGGGGGGGGCAGTGTGAGGGTGAGGGTGGGGGGCAGTGTGGTGGTGAGGGTGAGGGTGGGGGGCAGTGTGGTGGTGAGGGTGAGGGTGGGGGGGGCAGTGTGGTGGTGAGGGTGGGGGGGGCAGTGTGGTGGTGAGGGGGGCAGTGTGGTGGTGAGGGTGGGGGGGCAGTGTGGTGGGGGGGCAGTGTGGTGGTGAGGGTGGGGGAGGGGGCAGTGTGGTGGTGAGGGTGGGGGGGCAGTGTGGTGGGGGGGGCAGTGTGGTGGTGAGGGTGGGGGAGGGGGCAGTGTGGTGGTGAGGGTGGGGGGGGGCAGTGTGGTGGGGGGGGCAGTGTGGTGGTGAGGGCAGTGTGGTGGTGAGGGCAGTGTGGTGGTGAGGGTGGGGGGGGCAGTGTGGTGGTGAGGGCAGTGTGGTGGTGAGGGCAGTGTGGTGGTGAGGGTGGGGGGGGACAGTGTGGTGGTGGGGTTGGAAGTGGGAGGAAGAGGAAGAAGAAAAAAAGGCATTGCTGAATAATCTTCAATAATAATATTCATTGTATGTGATACAGCGCTTTTCACATCAGAAGAACTTCGAAAGCACTTTGTAAGATTTACTGTGAAGTGTCGTTCCTGTGGATTCTGCCGGTGAACACAGCAGCCAATTTGCACATAGTAATGTTATTCAAACAGCCACAAAATCCATAGTCAATTCGCTTTACAGTCTATCCTGTAAAGCAATTTGAGACGCATTGAAGATGTGATAAGGCGCAGTATCAAATGCAAGGATTAGTATTGCTATTAATATAAAGTGCGTGACCAATTTTATTTGAGGGATGGTTGGCCAGGAGACTCAGAGAAACGCTTCTCTTTGAATACCACCTGTCAAGGAATCTTTTAACGTCCACCTGAACTGGCGCAGACAGGACGAGATCTCGGTTTAACAACTAATCCGAAGGACGGCACCTCCGACACTGTAACACCCCCCCAGTACTGCACCAGTGATTGAACCCACAGCCAATTCTGTTTTAAATGTTCCCTCAATCGTCTCTGCTCTAACAGCGCCCCCCACCCCTCTCCAACCCCCCCATCCTACCCCCCATAGCAAGAGCCAGGCTGACACACGAACTGCGGAAATTCTTGAAATTTTAAGGAGTGTCGCTGTGGGGGGAGAAATGATTTTCAGGGGAGGGGGGGGAATGGGTGAATGGAGAGGGGGTGCTGTTAGAGCAGAGACGATTGAGGGGACATTTAAAACAGAATTGGACAAGAGGTGGGGAGTTGGGGAAAAAAGCAGGGAATTTGCCCACAGACTATACAGTCAATAATTCACTTTACAGTATATCCTGTGAAGCGCTTTGAGACGTCGAGAAGTCGAGAAGATGTGCATGTCAAATGCAAGGATTATTATTATTAATATAATATGGAAGGACAGACGGCTTCCCGGAGGAGCAAAGACGGAGACGGCTTGTGGGCTAAACGGCCTGGGTGCTGTGTGTACATGCCCTGGCTCTGTGACTGAGCCTCAGACTGACTCACTGTAACCTAAGCCGCAGAGAGTGCAGCCAGAGGTGAGCCTGAGCCCGGCTCCCAAACACCATGGGTTCACTGAGCAGTCAGCACCACACAACATCAGGTCAATCCCAGGGCACCCCCCCCCACACACACACACACACACACTGTGGTCCCTCCCTCCTCCCTCCCTCCCTCCCTCCCTCGGGGGGGGATAAGGAACGCTGTGATACTGTACAATTATTTAACATTCCCAGCACAGACCGAGCTATCAGCTCAAACCTGCGTGACTGCCAACTCGCTTTCAGACTGAGCAGGAGGGAGGAGAGAGGGAGGGAGGGAGGGAGAGAGGAGAAAGAGAGAGGGGGGAGGGGGTAGTAGAATGAAGAGTGAAGAAGTCAGAGAGAGAATTGGAGAGAGAGAGCGAGGAAGAGGAAAAACAGTAATAAACAGTATAAACAGTAGCATTTATATAGCGCCCTTAACGCAGGGCAGCATCTCGAAGCCCTTTAGGAGAGAGAGCGGGGGGGTAAGGAGAGAGAGCGGGGGGGTAAGGAGAGAGAGCGGGGGGGTAAGGAGAGAGAGCGGGGGGGTAAGGAGAGAGAGCGGGGGTAAGGAGAGAGAGCGGGGGGGTAAG